TTTTTTGCGGACTGTACATGGTGTTTTCCCAACAAGTTTCACAGTTGTTCACAATGTGTTGTTTTAATTTTAGAACATATTATATCGAATAGTATACTTTTTTTAATTCCATCGTAATTCCTAAACACTTTTCTACACACCTTAGTAAGTTCCAAGTTTCTAAATCTTATAGTTTTTGTTCAGGAAAAGAAAATGTAACGTTTTAAGTTAAACACCCAAAGCGGCTTCAGCTTCGGCCCTTACGATTTTTTAATCTAAACAGATTATTACATATTAATATATTTATATATACAATTATATTTCTATTTATAATTATATTTTTATTTATTATGTATCGAGTTGAATCACTCATAAAGATATTATTAACAGATATGAAGAAGTTAACAATATTAAAAATAACAATATTAAGAATTAAAATTAAGTTTTTTTTTCCTTGAAAAGAAAAAAAAATCAGTAGTCTTTCAAATAATCAAATATTTTTCATTTTAAATATTTTTCATTGATTTGTGTCGAATCAAGGCCTGGAAAAAAAACTTTCAAAATTTGTCATATTTTTTCTTAAGTTTCCATTAATAATACCAAATTTGTTATTTTTTAATATTGGTGAAATTTGATTACATTAATGCCCACATTCTCTAAAAGCATTTGTCCTTTAAGCTAAAATAATGTTTTAGATGAATAATTATGTAATAAAATATCACAGGAACGAAAATCCGCAATTTTCAAGCTTTAATCACGTGGCATCGGAAATAAACTTTAGGTGGAAAACGATGAGCATCTTTTTAGCAATTTTACTTGAATTAATTATCTTATACATTTCTCAGGACGGTATCAATACTGTTTTGCTGGATTTACACAAGATCTATTTTATCGTCTTTTCATTCTTTAGAAGATTTTTAAATTAATGATACGACGTAAGCATTATCATTTTGTGAATATATTCTGAAAACTTGTTTGTATTTTACAAATCTGGCAACCTTCATTTTAAAAACATATAAAAAAATGGAATAAAAACAAAACGAAATAAACGTTTGGAAATGGTAATTATGCATTTAAAATCAAAGCAAACACGCAACTTATTTAATTTTTGAACTGTTGTATTCAATTTGTTCTTTTAGGAGGAAGAATGTAAAGATAGTTTAATCCCGAAGAAACTACGAAGTCTGTTGGTTCCTTTTGTATTAAGTTTCCTTAAGGATCGACCGACGGATTATGTAGATTACTGCGCAGATTACTTCAGTAATCTCTCTGAGGAATGCAAAAAACTAAACCAATCAACAAGTAATATAAAATTGTTTTCCTTAAAATTTAAAATCTTTCAAGTGTTTCTTATTCAAGGAATTTATGTAAAAAGCTGAGAGTGAAATACAGAATTAGGTAACTTTTGATCGATGGCAAATTTTGTTTAATGTTTCTGATACCTGTTCACGATGTTCTAAAACGAAATAATAAATTTGTCTGTTAAATTAACAGCAAAATTAAATGTTTTAATATGCTTTAAAAAAGATATGTAAAAAAATATAACAAAATTTTTTTACTGTTTGACCCTAATTTTGGCGCTAATAAATCGCCAAAAATAAGAGGAGCATCCAATCGTAGATTTGTCTTTAATAAATTTGAATTACTTAATGAATTTCTATTGGCGTAAATGCTTTTGAGGTATTGACAAGAAAGAAAAACTATGTAGTTACCTTACCTTATTATTTAAAGGAAAAAATTATTTGAAGGTCAAAATATTCAACAATAGTGCCGTAATTCCTTGAAACACTTTATTCTTCGTCATATCGCCATTTTTAATAACTTATAAGAGAATTATTTCATAATAGAATTTTATTATATTTATTTTTATATTGTTACATTCATTTTTATGTTATTATATTTATTTTTATATTATTATACTTAATTCTATATTATGATATAAATTTTTATAATATTATTATAGTAATAGGTATATATTTATATATTATAATCATCCATTAGAACTTTTATAGTAGAAACATTGAAACTTATTTTTGGTATCTTTTTATCAGTAAATACATTTAAACATTAACGTTAGCATGAAAAATAAAAAATTTAAATGCGTATTTTCAAAAAAAAATTATAAAGTTTGAGATGAAAAGTGATTTTGTATTTTTATTTTTATGTTTGTGCTACTTACAACAAATTTTAAAAACGTCGAAGCAAGTTTGATTGTCTTAAGAAATTTGATAATTGCCTTTTAACTATTCTCAATTTCCACTATTTATCAAACAAGTTTTGATCTTTTTAATCTCAACTTCCTCAATAGTAATTCTCCACTTTTTGATAATGTATTTTTTTCCTTGCTTACATATTAGTTTGTCCCATCTAATGTACATATTGTTTTAAATTCTATTTTTAAAACGATTTTGAAAACATACATTAAGATCACCTTATAAATCTCTGTAATCAACACTGGGTCAAAATCAAGGTTCTCTCTTTCTATGTTATCCTTTTTTCTTTTCTTTAGAAACCTATAAAAAGAACACTTGAGTTAGACTAAAAAATTAAGAACAAAATCGGCTTAATTCCTAGCAGTTAAAGTTTAAGAAGTATAATAAGTCATATCCTTTGATAAATTTTCTTATAATTCATGTTTGTTTTTTTTTAAGAATTTTATTATATTAATCTTCTTGCGTTAGGAACACTTTCCTGAGCAATAAACTTCGAACACAAATCTGCAAGCTCGAAGACTTGTATGCATTGCTATATTTAATTTAGTAACCTAGTCATTATTCACATGTTGCTTTCATAATGTATAATTTCAACTGCTACGCAGAACCCTAGGGTTCCGTTGAAGAGTTAAAGGGGCTCCGTGATGCAGTACTTTTTATAAGCAGTTTTGAAACCACCGATTATATTTAGATCCAACAATTATTGGTTTAATGTTTCAGTATCCTTTAAGAAATTATTTCAAGTAAAATGCCAATAAAATAGGAAGGACATATTTTAAAATAAAATGTAATATTGAATATATTATGAAAAGAAGAAGGATTTATAAAATATTGCATTAGTATTCCCTACCGCGCTTTACAAATCAAAATAAAATAATTAAATTCGTTAATAAAAGATATGTTTCCCAAATAACCATTTTCAAAGATTATAGCACTTCGTTTAAGTTTTTCTTACGAACAATATCATAATTCGTCTTATTTTATTCATTTTCAGCTTATGTATATACTCTAAAAGCAACTTTATAACTGGACTAGATATAGAACGAGGACTGGAAATTTAACTGTTGGACAGAAAACCTGTTTTAAGTTTACTAATGATAAAAAAAAAATCTTCATTCATCTAATTAAAAAATTTTTAAATAGTCTTCTAGAGGTTTTAACTTTCACAATTACTTTAATTTATTTTATTTATGAAGTAATGATTTCGCTGAAAAAGGGATAATCATGTATGGTTCCGTTGCCGAAAAAAGATTGGGAACCGTTGGATTAGCATGTATTGTTCACGTGATTGTTCCAGTATCACCGTATTGATGGCGAATTATATAGTTGGATTTTTAACACGTTAAATGACGCACGCGTTTACAGTGAAATCTCCATCAGGCCACAATTACCGCTGTATGAAGCGTATTCTGCTAAGTACTCCCCAGGGCTAAAGAGAATAGAAGGGCTGGTTCACTCCTAGTGACGTCACTTTGGCGCAAAGCTCGCACTTTTACTTCAAGAACGGAGCGTTTGGCCTTACTAGCTCTAACTAATATTGGATCATTTCTTTTTGCGAGATATTCTAAGACATTTGTTATTTTCTATAATGACTTTCCTCAGTTTTTGCAGTGAATTTACAAGAATTTAAAACTATTATCGAAATGCCAGTTTGCGCGATTGCAACTTGCAAAAATTCTGATATAAAAACAAAAGGAAAAAGTATAATTTTTCGCGTGTTCCCTAAAGTAAATGAACAACTATGTAAAGAATGGATTCCGAAATGACACAGTTAATATAAAACAGCAATACGTTTATTCTGTCGTAAAGAACTTTTATAAAAATTCATTATCTAAATAGAAACCGCCTCGTTACTTCATAAAGAAAGGCAGGTGAAAAGAATTAAAAAATGGATAAAGTCAAAGAAAATTAAAATGTAAATAAAAAGTATAAATAAAATATATAGTATATAGTTGAAATTCTCCTAATTTCATAACATATTTTTTAATGTAGTTATTCTAAATATTTATGATTTTTTTTAAAAATTATATTCTCTTCAATTTAAATATCTATAAATTATATCATCGTAAATTTAAATGTCTATAAACAATTGTAAAATTTCTAATGTCATTATGAACCTAAATTATTATTTTGTTTCAGTAATTAGCGTTTAAGGTTGATGTTTCCTAATGATTAAGTATGAACAAATTGCTATTAACGACATATTTTAAAATCAGGGATTCTAAATTTAACTTAACTTATCGTTATAAAAGAATATGTAGATAAAAAAAGTGTCGATATATGCCTTCATTTTTCTTAATAGTTAAAGTTAAAACTGAACTTTTTAAAATAAAGTATTTATCGTGTCATTTTCACCAACTAGCAAAACATTTTTATAAGTTTAAAATGGTATTTTTTTAATATAATAACCAAGAAAGTTTTTTTTGAACTATGTTTATGAACGGAAATAATGTGTTAATTACGTAAAGTTTGAAGGCTAATAACCAGAAAAAGTCTAACTTATTTTTACAAAGAGAAAGATGCAAAGTTATCATATATTTGCTTGCGATCTCCGAGATCTGTGGACACAGTGACGTCATGAGGAGGGAAATCGTAGCTTCAGCTCTAAGAGCGGAGTGAACTAGCCCTTCTATTCTCTTTAAGCCCTGGTACTCCCGCCGATATTTTAATAATGCGAGGTTTGTTCCCATGGTATCATGTCTCTTTATTTGTGTCCGCTGCTTCGCATCTGTTTCTCATCTCGCCACATAACACGATCAGTTTGAATCTTTGCCGAGTAAAGAAGAGTATAACTTCAAATTTCTACCCTAATTTCTTGAAATTTAGAAAAGAAAAATGGAAAACTTATTTCTTAGTGAGTCAACTAGCAGTGAACAAGAAAGCTTTTAAGAAGATCACAATAATATTCTTAATAAATCATTTTTATATTACTTTTATAAGAATTCAATAGTTTTGTTACTTCCAGTGAAATATATTTTCAAATGCAGACAAATGTCCTTCGCAAGTAGTGAAATAAGCGTTACCCCAATACGAGTGACGCAGTCCGATTAGAAACTTTGCTGTCACCTGAATATGGGTGACGCTGCAGTCAAAGTGTTAAAGGAAAATGTTTCATGTGACAATTGTTCAATATTTATCAGAGATGGAAATAGGGCTTGTTAATTTAAAAATCTTTAATTTTTTTCGGAAAAAATTTTACATTTTTCCAATTCTGAAACTATTCGGTTACAATTGTTATTATTGTTGTTGTGGTTATTATTATTGCTAATATCATTCTTGTTATCATTATTATTATTATTATTAAATATTAATTTAATACAAACCCATAATTTAAGAAGTTTTAGATTACTCTGTTGCTTGAGATGACGATGAATTATAGCCTAATACAACTTCGATTGTTTTAGATGTGTTAATAAATATTGTTGCATGTTCTATAATTTTAGATTACGCTGTAGAACTTGGTGATGGTGGTTTTACTCAGGGTAGAACACCGCCTTTGCAAGAATCAGATGGTTTATCCGCAGATGAGAATGACAAAATACCATGTGTGAAAGAAACAAGTTCTTCGAATCATTCATTAGAGTCTAAAAATCTGCAGAAACCCATAAGGAATGTGATTTACAACAAGGCGGATTTTTCTCCTCAAATCGGAGACCAACCAGAAGTTACAGCACAAACAAATCAAGATCAGAAAGGTTACCTAATTTTGTGAATTTTTTTTTTTTTTTTTTTTTTTTTTTTTTTTTTTTTTTTTTTTTTTTTTTTTNTTTTTTTTTTGTATTTTCGATGTACAATTTGTATTGAGAAGTGATTACAAATCCACTCCTTCAAAAGAAAATTTTGTGAATGTGGAAACTTAAAAATTGAAGTGAAAAAAGTCGACATATTTTGATCGTTCCAAGTGGTTATTATCACGACATACGTTACCAACGAAGAAATGGAAGGAAAAAAAGTAGAAGAAAATAAAGGGGAAAAGTACACAAAACAAAAAAAAACACGATAGCCGAGGGGTACGATGGTGGCAAATTGGGAAAATATTCATTTTTTTGAGGAATGGTGGGGTAGGAATAAACTGAGGCCATTGACAAGGAAATAGACATTCTAAATTAAACAAAATTCCAGAGCATCAGGGTGGAAAGAATTTTGTCATATAAAAATAAAATTGTAAATAAACAAAATTTTGAAACATAATAAAATTTACGCGACTCTAGATTATTGTAAAAAGAGAAATGAGCTGTTCAAATGAGCTATTTCAGCTCAAAGTAAGTCCTACTGTTTGAAATAAAGAGTTCCCTGTTTTTTTGTTGAAAAAAAAATGAATAACGTCACATTAAACTATCAAGGAAATGTAAAACTTAGTCTTTTTTTCCAAATTGTAAGTCTTTTCCATCTAAAAAAATACTGGCACTACCTGAGAGATTTTTAAACCATCCTCTTGTTTATACGATCAAAGCTACAAAAAACGGAAAGATTATTAACCATTTGAGAAGACATTGTACTTCCTTGAATTTTATCTAGAATATCGGCCAGCAAAATATCACTTATAAAAGCGAGACTTTCTAGACTTACTCAACTGCAAATTAATTTGAATTAGGTTTTTTGTAAGACACTTCACTGCTTTTGTAAAAAATGTCTCGAATTTGGTCTCATAACAAATACATACGTCTGTCTAAAAGAAAGTTTTCGAGGCAGAACTATAACCTTAGAATGGAAATTATTTATTAGCACAACACAAATTTTCAGGTTTATGTCCTTAATTTTGGCTTATAAACCTTTGTTAAGTAGAAGGACAGCACGAAAATACACCCAGGATAACAGCGGAATTCGAACCAGCTACCTTAACGCCAGACACAACGCTTAGGCGGATCATACCACTTAGCAAAGAAAGCTTCATTGAATTTTTTTTAAAGGGAGAAAAAACAGCTTACTTTCAAAATAATTTCTTCAAAAAAAATTTATTTTTTTGAAAAAATTATTCTTTTTAAGTTTGTTTCTTCTTTTTTTTCCATTTTTCTCTTAAATAAAAAAATAGCATTTTGTTCTTATTTTCACACCCGATTTTATGTAATAGTTTTCTTTTATATGAATATTCTAATCTATCAATATTCTTATCAATATTCAGTATTCTTAAATCCTCATTGAAAATTGTTAAAAACATGTTAAATTTTTGTTTTCCTTTTTTAGCTAATTATCAACTTTATTCTTAGATGTCATCAAATTTATCAACGAAGATTTAGAATACATTGAAGACAAGAATGATCATTTAATTTTGAATGATAAAATAATTGAAAATGCTTTAGTTCCTCCACGAAAGGATTCATGTGCTGACCTTTCAAATGAGGAATTAGATTCATATGTTCAAGGATACATAACAGAATTAATATCTTCCCAAACTTCCACTTTTAAGCCAGAGTTCTCAAAAAAGCTGCGAAGGCAAGCGAAATGGCAAAACTGGATAGCTGGAAAGCGTAACTGGATAAAAAAGATGACAGATGCCATTAATAGCCCTAACAGTAGCAATTTAGAGGATTCGGATTTTATCGAATATTACCCTCTGTGCGAAGAAGAATCAGAAATGGCAAATACTCCTATTAGTTTGGAACTAGATTCAGATGTTAAAGAAGCTAGACATAAGGATGCCAGTAAGAGGGATGCAAGTACTGATAACTTATTTGACTATAACAGAATCAATTCAGTGATTGACTCTTTCTCTGCGCAGTCTGAACAGTTACTGAATGAACTAAAAACAACCGAATCACTTTTCTGTGAAACACTTCGAAAAGAATTGGGTTATTACTTTAGAAACGAGCTCGATGAATATGGCCAAAGAGATAGGACATGCGATCCAACCATACATTTTCTCTCTCGGAATAAAGATGTGTCTGCAACTGAAACCCCTGACTGTAGCTCTCCAAGTTCCTGCAATTTAGCTCGTGGTCTGAAGGTTCTTTCCGAAGAAGATACGATCGGAAAAGAGCCTAATTGTGAAGTATTGGATGAAAGATATAATGAAGACAATTACAGAGAGAGGAATGAAATTACGTCCATGAAAGCTAATACCAATAAATCAAAGCAAAGTCATTTCTTGAGATACAATCAAAACACGGTGACTGAATTAAATAGACGTTTGAGTAACGTAACAGTTAAAGACATGCCAAATCGAAATCAAAGATGTCGTAATGGAGCTGAGGAATTTTCAGAAAAATATCCATTCAAAAACTACGCCATTGAACAAGAAGGTAACGAAAATATGGATCAAAGAGTAAAACGGAAGCGATCCTCGGATAACTCTTCACGGGAAAATTTAAGATCACTCCTTAACACACAAAGATTTGCTCAACCAGTTCAGCATATTCGCCCAACAACCTCTTTGCCCACTCGTTTTGTTCGCCCTCTTAGACACACGCAACCAAAACATCCGAGCGTTGCCGCAGTGAGACCAACATTATTGTCATTAATTGGAGAACAAGGCGACGTACCTCCTCGAATGTTGTGGCAGCGACACTCTGAGAGAACTGCAGCAAATACAAGAGGGCATCATATGGTAGCTACATCAGTGCAATTAAATAGAAATAATATGGAAAACGATTCTGAATCTAGTTTTTCGAGTCACGGTAGTCAAACGTTCGAATCGCTTAATCCTCTAAATGAAACAGCTGCAAGATTTAATGGAGAAGAGGAAAATCAAACAAAAACTCTTATACGTGATACTGAAGAAACAGAAGATGAGGATAGATGTACCCCGGGTACAAATGAAGAGAAATTTGATTTAAAAGCGGAGAATTGCAAGTTAGAACTGGAATCGAGTAATAACAACGAACTGGTGATTCTTGTTTCAGTAGAGAACAACAATGATTTAGAAATTGTTACCGATGCTAATGAAGAACCAAAAAATCCCACTTTGGAATCTGTCTTAAATCATGAAGATATTTCTTCAATAGGAAAAGATTCCGAATCTACTTATGCTGACGAAAAGGTAGAGAGTGGCGAAATTTTGTTAAACGGCTGTGTATTTTTTAGCACAAAAAGTGATTTTATGTTAGAAAATGCTAATTTAAATATTGAGACAGAAAATGAAAATTTTAAAATAGAGACCAACATTGTAGAACCGTCGAATGAAACGATGAACAGCAGTACAACCTCTGAACAAAATAAGTCAATTGGCAAAAATAATGATCATGAAATAAGGGAAATTAGATTCAATCTCAATGCTAAAAACAGCAAGATAAAAGTGCAACCAGAAAATGGTAATAGAATAATAATTACCATCTCTGCAAATGATAGCAATGATTTAGAGGTAAATGGCGATTTTTCTGAAATACCAGTACGTCACAATCAGAGAAATAGATTGGAAAATGCCGAAATTATTTCCCCTAAAAATATCGTTGTTGATGGGGAAAATATAAACGGTGGACATAAAGAGAAAAACCCAGTACAGGGTCGTATAACTTTTACCACAAGAAGCAAACTTCTGTTCGAAAACGTAAACTTTCACGCCAGCATAAATGATCAATTGCTAGAAAGAAATGTTGTCCATGAAAGAAATGAAACTCTGTCGTATTCTACAGTTCGTCAAGAAGAGGCATTCAATAACTTGGATGAAGCAGAAAAATCTTTAGTAGAATCAATTTCAGGTTTTTGCGGTAAAGAAAGTCATTTGTCGAACACAGAATGTAAAGACAGTGATCAAAATGGAAAAGTAAAAAGTCTGAAAACGGATATTGATGATCCAAAAATCGCAGAAGGCGATCCATTTAAGAGGGAAATTATTACTGCTACCATCGCCAAGCAAAATATGGAACCTGGACTGACATCAGCTGGTGGTGACTTCGTGGAGGCACCATTGCCAGTTGATTCTAACTCAGAGAACGTTTCTAGAAATGGCACTTCTGATAGTGTCACCTCTCATGCTGATTCTTCATTGAGCAAAGAAAGATTCTCAGCAGAAGACGTCAAAAACGCTGTTATTAAGGCCTTTGAAGAGCAAAGTAAAGCCAATGAATCTGATGATTTTGATTATTTTTTTGATACTGATACTTCTGATTCGAATTCTAGTGAGATGTCTGATGACAGTTACTCTGAAGAAAACAGCGATTGTTAATATTATTTTGGTGAACAATACGGATTCTTCAAAAGTTGTATTTGTTTATTTACTTTTCGCTTCTTTCTAAGATTAAACTATCTATCCTAAATTATTTTATAATATTCAGAAAAGCTTTTTATTTATTGGATTTTATTCTTAAATAATTAGGTAGCCTATTCTTAACGGTTACGTTTATTATGTTATTATGTTTTCCGTTTATTATGTTATTAAAAACTTATTTTTAAGAAGTCTTTTTAAAGAAAATGCTAGTAATAATTTCAATAATTTCGATTCCCGTTTAAAGGAATTGTTATGATAATTTCGGCACTGTATTATTTGTACTAAATTCATAGAAATAAAATTTAAAAAAAAACAATTTCAAGTTAATTCAGTTATTTACAAAGTTAATATACAGCTGAAAAAACTGATAAGTTTCTATCTAAAACAAATAAAACATCACTAAAATACAAATCCTAGTCATCTATCTATTGCAGTCCATTATTCCCTTAAAATTTCTTAGATAGCAAATTTAAATAAAAATTTTCTTGAGAATTTAAATGATGTTATGATAATAACAAAATTTTAATGTTGTTATGATAATAAGAAAATTTTAATGATGTTATGATAATAACAGTATTTTAATGATATTATCATTTAAATGATAATTTCATACTTTACAGAAATACATTTGTATTTGTGTACTTAGAAACGGCACGTATTAAAATCTTGCCAAGACCTTAATTGAGTGTTTTGATGCAATCCAATTTTTTTTCTCGCCTTTACATGCTATATGAGTAATATAAAGCTTCACAAAAACAATTTTAAGTAATAAATATATTAATGAATATTAATATATTTATTACTATATTTTAAGTAATAAATATATTAATAAATATTAATATATTTATTACTATATTTTAAGTAATAAATATATTGCTGGCGTACATTTTTATAGAAGACATTTCTATCCAATTTATTATTTTCATCCATTCAGTTAGTATATAATTCATTTTGCATTTTTTTGTAGATTTGCCGGTGCTTGACCATTTAAGTAAAAATATCGATGCATTTATTAGCTCGCGTCACACCCTTAGTATTTGTGTACTAAGGGTGTGACGATTAAACTATGCTAAGCGACTATTAAACGGCGACTATTAAAACCATGCTAAGACTCCGTTCAAGATTTGACCCAGTTGAAACAAAAAAAATTCTTAATACGTTAAGTACAAACCATGTGGAAATTACAAAGCTATACAAAAAACAATTTCGAGAAAAAAATATTACTGGCGTGTGTGGAATTTATTTTTTATCCCGTAACTCAATATTTCTTTGTAGACGTGGCCCTATTCATACGAACTACTTCATTTAAGTAAGACTATCGATGTATCGATTTAACTTGAAGTTAAATTTAACACTAAAATAATCCTTACACTGAGACAGTTTAATTTCCATTTCTGCTTCTTTTAAGTATTAATTATGAGAAGTTTCACTCTAAAACTATTTAAATTAGGCCATAGGAATGACGTTCATAGTTGCTTTTTCAGAACAGGCATTAATTCTGCAGCAAAGAACTGTTCTCTCTAACACCAGAAGCCGAATTAATGTCGAAAGTGACACTAAAAACAGCAAACAGCTTCCTTGTAATTTTGTTATGCTACCAGTATCTTATAGGTTCCAGAAATTGCAATCGACATTTCTCAGCATGGAATGATGACTTTAGCTTAAATTAAAATTGCTTTTCACAGCTGCTGATCACTTCGACTGCTGTGTTTCCATTTTGTTGTCAGAATCTCTAAATCTGAATAAATTATGTTAACTAGTACATCTTTTTTTTTTTAAATCGGGGTATGTTTAAGCACTAGATGAACACTTCACAATTTTATTTTAAAATGTGTTTTCGGTATTTATCCATTATTTCGCCGGCACAGGTAAATTCAGCTCCTTTATTTATGTTCATTTTTTAATCGAAATAAATTTAAAAAGAATTTTACTTTTTTGTTTATCACTGGCCACTGCTTATGTAAAATGGAGTTTTCATATTTTGAGCATTGTTTTTAAGCAGTTTGTTTATTTAACTATCAAACAATTGTGTTAAGCCAAATCTGACTAGGCCTAATTTTACTCAATAGCTATATTAGGTACCTATATTAGGTATGTCATAGCTATATTAGGTATGTTAAGTACCAGTAACTTAATACCACAATATCAGTCTTAACTATTACCACTGTTGTCACTTGTGTCGTAAATTGTTCAACGGATTTTGATGAACCTTCTCCGAAACGAAATAGAAAGAGTTAGAACTTGCAATCAATATTCCATCCACTTTCTGGCTTGCTAGCTCCCTCAAATCTGTACTAGAACTCCATGCCTGATGACAATCCAATTTTCAATTGTTTTCTTACTACTACAACTAGAACTTATATCGCAACTTTATTGTCAATCAAACTAGCTAGAATGTTTAAATTTCCAAAGGAGCTCTGTGTCTGTTACAAATATATTATTATTCACTTAGCTACGAAGCACTACGAGCAAAATGTATTGTTAAAAGGAATTTATCGTTTATCCCACTAGCTATAGTGTGCTCAGATTTTAGATAGATTGTTTAACTGTATAATAATATATGCTTAGCCTTTTTCTGACCATTACTAGCAGAAATTAAGTCCATATTATCCACACAAAAATTTGAGGAAGATCTATACATATTAACACTTAAAATTACTTTAACATACTTATTACAAGAAGATCTATACATATTAACACTCAAAACTACCTTAACATACTTATCACAAAATATTAGTTTAGAACCAAAATTCATACTCGAAGCTGGTACTTCATAATATCTAAATTAATAGTAATAAAATGCCGTTAAAGTCAATATCATAGTGAAGCATATGTAAAATCAGATCTGGTGCCAATCAGATCTGGTGCAAAATTTCATTTCAATTTAACACGATTTAGGGTTGTTAACCAGAATTTACAGAAATTTGTAGCTCACTAACTTCAAAATGTACTTTGGCATAATAATAGCACAAATATTACAATGACTTGATTATTTTTATTTTGTTAATTTATCTTTTCACAGCAAACAAGATAAAAATAATAGTTTACCTAGTAGTTTTTTTTTGCATCAATCACTGGATAATAAACCAATAATTTTTCATGAAGCTATTTATATGTCTACTTTTTTTTTGCTCCATTATTATTTATTTCTAGTCTTATCTCCATAATTTTTTTTAAAAATAATCTTAACTTTGGGCAGCATGTCAAAAGGTTAGGGGAAAAATTAAATCTCAAACAAATTTAGATGGGGTAAACTAACCAGTGAAGGAACACTTAAGCTTTGCTAGCCTTTTAAAAAATCATATTAATTTCAAAATTCGTAATTTTAGTTAAATGACAGTGTCAACATATTTGTTACTAATTGCAAATTATGTAAAAAAATTGTAGAGAACTTACATAATATTGTTTTAAAGTTTTGGAGGTTCAAATAACAAGTAGTAAGAAGACCAAGTGAAGGAACAGCTCTTACCAGTGAATGAACACCCAGTAAAGGAACACTTAATTTTGGTTATTTTTTAATGCTCTTTATGAATTTATAAGCCATACAAATATTTAAAAACAAGCCTATTCTTGAAATTATAACATATAAATACTTGGAAAATGTTAACTTTTTTTTGTAATCATGAATTGAAAATTAAAGTGTCAACATATTAACACATACTGTTCATTCACTGGGAAATCTATGCCCAGTAAAGGAACATGCCTGTTCCGTCACTGGTTAGAGGTTGTTTTTCGTATTTTTAACATACTTTTGATGCGGAACATCACTAAAGGTACAAGAAAATTTAAGTTTATCTTTTATTCTCATTAACTTAGAAAAAAACCCAGTAAAGGAACACTAGTTCCTTCACTGGTTTTTCATCGATTGGTGATCCAGCGAATAAACACCCCCTTATCTCAGTACTTTATTATGCTATGATGCTTAAAAAAAAAAAACGTAACTTCAATAACTATATTTTGAATTCTCTTTTTCACAGTGAGAAAAATAAAACTATTACATGCAATTAATTCCACTTCAAACATATAAATACAAACACTCACCTTATAATTTTTTCAAAGAAACAAGGTGTTGCAGAGATAATAACAAATTCAAAAATTTTTCCAGAGAAGTCTATTTGACCAGGTAATCCAAAACATTGCTAGATGACTTCCTATTGTTTGGCAGCAAGCTATTGTTACCTATCAATCTACAGAAAAACTTTCAAATTCTTATTTTTAATCAATATATATGAAGTGTTGCTTCACTGGGTAGTGTTCCTTCACTGGTTAGTTTACCCTAGAACAATAGTACAAATTTTGTTTAAGGAAGCAGGCACTGAAGTTCAAACAATGTCATTTCTTCATAGCGGTGCGACATCATTATTAAATTACTTCGCAATAATTACGAAAAATAACAATGTTTTCATTAAAATGTATAATATTTGTATGAAACTAACTAGAAAAATAAATAGAAAAAGTTTGCAAAAAAATAATATTTTAACGTAAAAAGGATATTTTAATTTAAAGAACAATAGGAAAAGAGATATTAATTGATAAAATTTAATTTTTCTCAAGACTGATTTCAGTGCCCAGGACTGAAGAGTGGCACCCAAGCTGGTGCCATAGTCAAATACCGTAATCAAATGGCATAGTTTGGTGTCATAGGTAGGTGGGGTAGACTATATTTGAGGGTGCCCCTTGATTCTCGCCAAATTGTGATCGCGGTTGATCAAAAAGCTGGGCGATGTTGAGACCCAATCGTAATTTCGATTGGTTTAGATTTTAGCGTTATTTTTGTTCAACGGTATATGTAATTTCAGAGATCCGTTAGTTCTTAGATACTGGCTATAAGGTTACTTTTGTTTCTGGTCAATAAGATCGAAGGAATGTGGGCAGTCATAAAAAGGGACTTTAACAAAAAAATGTCACCAGCAGTAGTCCGGTACCACAGACGCCATTTTCGATTCGTATTTCACCGAATTTATGTGGCGATGGAGGTACACAGATTCTATTCATAATAAATTTAGACAGTATCTAACTACTATTAGAGAATTCTGTGCACCTAAATCTGAGGGTATTCAAGCTTAAATGAAGAAGTGAGTTGTTTATTTCCTCTTCTTTCTGTGCTTACTCCGTTAATTTTTCTTTCGATTCAAAATGCATTTTATTGGGTTTATAAATTTTGCTTATATTGGGTTCATTGCAATTTTATAAAGTTTTGACCGTTGTTTTGTTGAAACTTTCCAATGTTTTATTGAAAAATCATTATGTTTTGGCCGCTATTCCTGCTACCACGGTGTTCCGCACAAACAGGAATGGCGCCAAACATAAGTCACCGATTTTGCTAAGGGGCACCCTAAAGTATATTTTTACCGGTAGGTGTTATAGTCAGGTGTCATAAAAGAATATCTTAATCAAGTAAAATTATTAAACGAACCCTCATATTCAATCACCATAATCCAATCAGGCTAATTCACAACTTAGAGATTGCTATCTTGGGTTGCATTTTGTGCCAGTAACATCCTATTCATTCAGACATTTGATAAACATCAAATTGTTGTCCATCTTCTTACATGAATTCTAAAGATTCCTTGCCCCTTCTTCACGATAATTTCAAAAAGAATAACACAAATCTTCAAAAAAAAATCTTATACTTGTTTTAGTTACTCAACGTTAAATTATAGTAAAACGCTCTATAAAAGAAGATTGATTCAATCAACAATCTGGCACCGAATATTTATTTGGAACGATTGAAAAACAAATGAACAATGCGTCTTATACATTGTTACACTGCTGAACAATTAAGCAAAAATGTATTTTTTAAATTATTAAAATTAATCAAATAGTTTGCTTTGTTGAAAATAAGCTAACAGTCAAAATTATGACTATATATAAGTTCTCATTATTGAGAAAATAGAGTTTAGGGACTTTTAGGTGAGCGTTAGGGCATTCTATATGACCAGTTATAGTTTAATGAATAAATCGTAGTCAAATAAATACACTTTAAAATTAATATTTCTTTAATTGTAATGTCATTTACATTTTTATCTCTGCATACAATATTAGTGCTATTTAGGTAATTATTAATCATATTTATTGAGTAAAAGGTTATTAATTATGGCTGTACTAGTTACTGGACCAAATTTTCATAAAATGGGACTAGATGCTTGGCTATGGTTGGGTGAAGTGTGCGCCTTACGATTTTTGTTTCAGGCTCGACAAAAATAAAATTGAATTTTTTTAGCTTATTTAAAAAAACAGAGTTTAATTTTTTTTTCTTCTGAGACACAGTTTCCGAGTCACATTCAATAAATGACAAATAGCGAAAAATAAATTATTAATTAAATTAAATTAAAAAATAAATCTCTTTAATTTGAAAAGTGAATAAAACGCCATGCATTCAATAAGATTCTGTCGTAAAAACTACGCTATGCATAAAAAAACGACAAGCACTCAGAAAATAAAAAGAGAAAAACATTAAATTAAGAAAAAAAATCCACATGTCTCTCAAGTGCACAAAAATGGGGGGAGGGGGGAGATACATACACAGAAGATCAACATTCAACAACCAAACAAATCACACTTCTCCGGGTTGAAAAGATGTGAGGGGGGGATCCATCCCACCAACCACCGAGAGGAACTCTACTCCTCCTAGTATCAGTGTAATAAATCGAGAGGAAGGAGAAGAAATCTCATCATTTTACTCTTTCTACTCCTTTACAATCGGTACTCATACATCCTCCTCTTCTTTTCATTGGGAATGGATCCGTTGATGAATCCAGAAGAGCCGGACGATTCCGGAACGTATCCGGCGTCCATTCGGGCAGCTGTTAGTCGGGTGCTACGGGGTTATGACTGGAGTGTCGTACCGGCCCCGGTAAAAAGTGGTTCAAATGGAGTCGGAGGTGACCGGAGGAAACCGTATGTGAAGAGACCTATGAATGCTTTTATGGTTTGGGCTCAGGCAGCAAGACGGAAGTTAGCGGATCAGTATCCTCATCTCCATAACGCAGAGCTCAGCAAGACACTTGGAAAACTTTGGAGGTAAGAAATTTTTTTTTTTTAAGGCTACAGTGGACCTTTATATTGCCAAAAATTGATAAAAATTTCGGTTTTTTTTTTGTGGACATATTTAGACACTTGTTTCATTGCTTTTTCAACTGAATTTTTTTTTTTTTTAAATTTCGTCATTTTTTGAGAAGTTATAGGGTAGTTTCGTTTTCACATTATGAAGCCACGCCCCTTTTCTTACACAAAAAGCTGTTTTTCTCAAAATTGAAATTTTGTTATGTTTCACGTATTCAAAATGTTCCAGTCGACTTTGTTTTCATCCTATTGAGATGAAATTTTTTTCTAGTTATTTATATGTATATTAGATTAAGTTTATGCATTTGTTTCTGTTTTATAACAAGTAATAAAAGAGTTATCGGGTTTCATGTACCTAACGACCTTTATTTTGAAACAAAAATCTACATAAAATTTGTTTTTTGGTCATAAATTTAAAATAAATTTAGGAAAATTCCTATATAATGCATAAAGCTTTTAACATTTATCTCTAAAAAAAGAATATTAAAAAAAAATAAATAAAAATTTTAATTTAAGCCGCTGGGAGCATTTTAAAATTGATGAAATTTTTTTTAAGAAATTTTAAATTTCTCAAAAATGGTCCAAATATTTTTTACAAAAATTTTTGCAAGGGCATATCTTGATAGAATACATAAGTTATAAAAAAAGTTTTAGTGTAGCATAAAAACTAAAAAAAATTTTTTTGAACGTCCACTGTAGCCTTAAAGGTTTACTGCACTTCCATACCAAAACACGGGAATGGTTAGCGGACTGTGACTAGCCACAGATTTTGCAATAGTGAATTTTTAACATATAACTTTTACTTACTATTGTTTCCAGATAGATAATTTTCATTTCTCTGAAATTTCAACTAGATTATCAAACAATACACGGAAGTTTCTTACTGCCTATAGGGAAATCGTTGCTTTTTTCATCAATAATACTTTTAAAAAACACTCTTCTAAGCAATTTTATAATGCGGCTTATCATTATACCAACATGAGCTCTTCATATAAATTAGATTGAAGCACTGGTCCCAAAATACAGGTCTAATTTCCTTCATCCATTTTCAGAAATTTTATGGAAGATACCTCCACTGAATAAAATTCAGGTATAAAGTATTGGTACTTTAGGTACTTCATCCATAAAATATTACATCGTAATTTTTTATTATTCAATTAAAGTGATTCATTGATTTTACTATATTACCTTAAAAATTACAGTGTATCAGATATTTTGTTCCACAACATGTTCCTATAATAATGTATTTTAAGGTAAAAAGTACCGGCACCGTAAGGGTCGGTACTTTTTACCGTAATTTGATGCTAAATTTTTTACAATGTAAAAAAAATTATTATAGTAATTTAAATTTTGCTTCAAATAAATAAATATAGTTTTATAGTTAAAAACATTTCAGTTTTCGTGTAAATTAAAAGGGTGTAAGCTTTTAGTTTTTATTGTAAGAAGTAACTGATACGATCCAATAATTTTAGATTCATTAATTTTAGACAGTATGAACCAATTGCATCATTTAATAGTTATAATGTTAAAATGATATGACAGCAATAAAATAAGAATAAAATAAAAAGTTGTAAGTCATTACACTTTTTTTTTAAAAAGTAATTTTCTTTCATTTTCTCGTTAAAAAATTCTTTTAAAATATTTTTAGTTTTTCAGTTTCTAAAAAATACCGACTTGGTACAAAATATAAGAAAACAGTAAATTTCGAGAACGCTAAGAAGAAAAGGAGTATCTGTAATAAATGGAAATGGAAAGCGAAAGATTTTAAAACAGACTTAGGATTTGCAAAGAATTGAAATAAGTTGAGTTTGAATAAAGAATAAAAAAGATAAAGCCTATTTTGAAATCAAATATCCTAATGCTTAGTGTTTTAGATAAAAGTCATTATTTAATTATCATAATAGTGCCAATCATTATTCATTAACTCATACATTTTTTTATCTAAAGTGATCACTTTAATGGATAGTTTGATAAATTATTGCCAGCACCTATCATTTACTTAAAAGTTATGCCTAATTTTTTACGAATTCATCAATCTTAGTTTGATCGTATCATCATGTATAAAAATACTGTAATAGTTGATCCATCCTTAGACATGAAGATGACAGGTCAATTTTTTACCACTATATACGAAAATTATATCAAAACTAACAAGTTTCTAAAAAACTGTCTATTTAATAATAAATAAAGCAACTCAAAAGATATGCAAATTCCTTGAGAATTAAATGCAACTCTACAACTTTAAAAATATGGAATTTATTTAATTATTTATTAAGGCTAAGTACAAAAAGTATTTCAGTACAAAGAATATTTTGTCGCCGTAAAAAGCTTAGAATATTTTCGTTTACATGATTAAACCTGTTTAAACTGAATAGATAAGAGGCCTTATTCAAACCATGAAAGTGCTTTTAATAAAAATATTTCATATTAACTTCAAACTAAACTTGTTTCAATACCGAAATATAATGTTTTATATCTTTTAAAGCATTTATATATTTTTTTTTTCATTTTTCCTTCTAAAAGACAAACTTTTTATTGAAAAATACTCCATATTTTAAGAAATAAATGTTTTTTTTCTCTGTCCCCCTTTTTTAATTGCTTAACCATGAACTTTTTTATGAAGGACTCGCCCAGTTTCTGAATTCGCATCTCTCCATTTTGGATAATCTTCATCTGAGAAACATGTGCTATGTGTACCAGTAAAAAGTTTAAAGTTACTTTTACTGTATTTACTCATTCATGGTCTAGCCTAGCTTTACTTCTTAAATATAATTGAGAACACGTTTTGCGAGACCTTAAGTATAATTTAAAACGTCCAGCTAATCTGAGCTATTTGTTTTTGTTACAAGGAGAAGTGAAGATAAATAAGTATGCTTGCATATACTTTTATTTACATTTTAGAACACTGATAAAAAAAAATAATAGTCTAAACTACCTGTGTATGGTAAATTTTACCGTGTTTCTGGCTTTATGCAACGCCAAAAAACACGGAAATTTTTACCGAACCTATTTGGTAATCATTTTTAGTAAAATTAACAATAAAATACAGTTTTATTAACATGCTATTTAGTGGTAAAAGTGGTAAGATTTGTTAATTTTATCATGATACCTTCCTTAGAGTATGGCATAAAAACCATATATTCGGTTAAATTTCAAATTTTGTATTTTTCTTTCAAGTTTTGTATTTTTACTAAATATATGGAATACTACATATACTGAATACTATATATACTGAATATTTTAGTTTTATTACCAGAAATTTCATTCTCTTACAAGTACGGTAAACTAACCTGAATTTTTTTCACTGTGTGATATTTTTCTGAAAATAATTCAATGAAATGAAAACATGTATCAAACTTTTTAAGTTATTAGTGTGATTTATGTTTTAAACTGAGTTTATGTAATTTGCGTCAATTGTGTAATTATAGTAAAGTTACTGACTAGCACATTAACTCAATTTAGTATTCAATTTAAATTGTGAATAATAAAATTAATATTAATTATAATAAATTTAGAAAAGAATTTATTATGAAAACGTAATAATTTTTAAAAAAAACTATAGATTGCCTATCATTTTTAAAATAATTTTAGTTAAATTCCATATGAATTACAAAAATACAGCGTATTTGTATGGATGTAAGTTGACTAAAATAAGACATTTTAAAATGAAATATACGAATTTTAAACTCAGAGAATTTGTTCAAGAACAATTTAAGTAGAGATTCACAAATAACTATTTAAAGATAAATAAAATTTAAAAAATTACAATAGGTTAATATAGTTTTTTCAGCATTATTTACTCCGCAATAGCTGGCTTATGTCTCAATTGTGTCCCTGTTCTTGCACTAAACGAAACAGCTATGTTGTACACATTAAATAAAGAAAAATTGGAAAATATGGACCTGTTTTTGGATTTGCACATTCTCAAGATACAGTTAGTTTTGACTCTAGAGAAATTTCATAAGAAAATTTGTTACTATTTAATAAATAATCCCAACATACTGAAGCTGTAATATATTACTTCATTAAAAAACTTCATTCGCTTCAAAAATATACAAATTGGAAGGAACAGTCAACATATTTCAAACGTTCGAAATAATCTCCCATTTTTAAGTTTAGCCAGACGTGTGAATGAGAAGAAACTAAAGTTATAAAGTGATTGAAAATATAAAACGTTAAGTTGCCAAAAAAAAATGGAAAAATAAAGGTGAGAACAAGACAAGAAAAACTACAGTAACCAAGCGATAAAAAAAAGACAAAAAACAGAACAAGAAAAAAAAAGTGTGGCTTTCGTTTAGTGTTGAAAAGCATTGTCACTATATTGCAATTCAAAGTTATTTTAACTGCTTTAATAAAATTTTACATGCCTGTGTTAATATTCAAATATTTTGCGTGATTATAATTAAAGATATTATCTTAATTTAACATAAATATTAGCAATATCGGTGAAAGGCCAGGTAGATAATAAATCATTAATTTTGAATATTATTAAGTAATTTTGATTTGTTTTTATTATATTTATACCTTGACCTGATAACTAGTGATGTCAAATATCGTTTCTATCAGTTGTTTATGCATTTTGTCAGTAATATTTTAATATTCTTTGCTTGAGAAACTTAAAAATGCAAACAATTATAAAATTTCATAATGTGACAACACTATTGAATCTCTCAGCAATAAAACCTTTAAATTTATGAGTATTTGAAAATTGTTTAACTTAAACAAATTAACGATAATTTTGAAAAGGTTTGAATAGACTTCAATCACGTTTATACATAAAAACAGCATGTTTTAACCTTTTTCACAATATCAAAGTCTCGTCTGTTAAAAAAATTCTTATTAATTGCTATCACATTTCTAATATGCTATAAAATAAAGACCAACGAAAAAGTTATCAGTAAGATTTGCTCAACCTGATTAAGGTATAAAATATTTTCTAGAATGCTAGTAGCACCCCA